AAAATGATTACAAAGATTTGGCATATATATTTCAACTATCAAAAAAAACCCAAAAACACTTCAGCAGAAGGCTGTGCTTTTGAGAGTTTTTACAGCAAATTGCATCAATCCATATTATAACTTTGGAATATCTGTAAAACGACATACTTTTTACAGGGAACAAAGTGATTTAGCAAGGCATTCTTATCTTTACTTTGTAATTTAAAATAGAAACAGGGACTACTTAGGATAGCATATGCCACCAGAGACTAGCAAATTGCTAATGTTTCGTACTTCTTACTTCTGCTCATATTCTATATACTGATAACTATTACACACAGGTGCAATATGGACTGAACTATGACCAAGTTCAAGGAGTTTACTTAAAAAAAAAAAGGAATTGTGCCCTTTTCATTCAATTATTGAATTATTCTCATAAAGGAGAAGTCGCAAATAGATTGTTGAAGAGTATCTGTTGTGCTACTCAAGTAATATTTACAATGAAATAACTACACTTGTTTAAATATATAAAAGTGTAAACCAGGGCCAAAACATTCAGCTCCCATCATGTTTGACCATGCTGGCTGGATCTGATGGGAGTTGACATCATAATTGTCCAGAGGGCCACAGGCCTTATTCATTCCCTAAACAAGTTGACACTGTGGTAATTCGAAGATCTTCCCCTTTCATATTCAAATCAAGACCTGAAGCTGAACACTCTGTTCCACTCCTTTTGAAAGTTAGGTTAGTTGATGTCAGAAGTGGGACTTTTGCCAGTGACCCCTTTATTACAGAACTCTTTCCTGGGGATGCTCTCTTTTTTCCTTTTATTTTCAGAAACAGATTAAAAGTTTTCCTTTAGAAAGAACAGAAGATGGATTGTTGCTTTTTTCTCTATTTTCTAAAATAATATACACTATACTTATACTATTTTATGATGATGAAGATTCTCAGTCATCCAGGTGGAATTATCTGGAGGCTGAGTCATGGCAACCGGACTTCTTTTCTTTTGGTTTGATACGTTTCGCTGCTTATCCAAGCAGCTTCTTCAGTCTAGAAAGTTGGTCGGGGGGGACCCCATAAATGTTTTCTAATCATATATCCTCCTTGAAGGGACAATAGGAGATGTGATGTGATTAGTAGAGTCTTTGGGATGTGGATGTGGACCCTAATCACATCTCCTATTGCCCTTTCAACTAGCCCATCATGTTAGTGAGAAACACAGCTACCTGGAAGACATTTATGGGGTCCCCCCTAACCAACTTTCTAGACTGAAGAAGCTGCTTGGACAAGCAGTGAAACATATCAAACCAAAAGAAAAGAAGTCCGGTTGCCATGACTCAGCCTCCAGTCCCCCCTAACCAACTTTCTAGACTGAAGAAGCTGCTTGGACAAGCAGTGAAACATATCAAACCAAAAGAAAAGAAGTCCGGTTGCCATGACTCAGCCTCCAGTCCCCCCTAACCAACTTTCTAGACTGAAGAAGCTGCTTGGACAAGCAGTGAAACATATCAAACCAAAAGAAAAGAAGTCCAGTTGCCATGACTCAACCTCCAGATTATTTTATGATTGTACAGTTTTTATTTATCAAAGCCCTGCAAGGAAAAATGCTAAATTGTCTTGTACTAATTCATTTTTTAAAACTCTTACCTGTTCCACATTGTATCCATGTTTTTCCTTTGCTATAGCAATGTATTCATCCACTGTGTAACAGAAGGATGCTAGAATTATTTTTCTAATATATTTACAGCAGAAAAACATTTTAGGATCATGGATTCTTATTACAGTGCACTGTATTACAAAGTTCCTTTCTGATTTATTTAAATAATGAAATCAAACTAATCCACTGAAATATATTTTGTGCTCATATTAATTATAGGTTTTATTTATTTATTTTGCTTTATATCCTGTTTCAATTGTATGTGTCTCTAAAAAGGGTAGATGCTAAAAATTCCATGGGAAGGGAAAACGCTGTTGATCAAAGCTGCAATCCTACAGTTATTCAAGTAGAGTAAGAAATCCAACAATAAGCACAAAAAGGTCCATCCTGAAGTCATTCTATAGAAAATTTAAATCCAACTCATTATAGTACTACACCAGAGCTTTCAAACACCTTTTCATAGTTTTCTTCCTTTTAGCATTCTTTTCTGCTTCAGTGATATAATATTACATTAAAATACAAATGCAATACAAGGAGATTCAGTGCAGTGTTTCCTTTGTGCACCTATAGGCTGTTGATTTTTGTTGAAGAACAGCTTAGATCTGTATAAGGTTAAATAAGGTAGCAGCAAGGAAAGACAAAGAATCAGATGAAGAAAGCTAAAAGCACAAAACTAATGTAGAAAGATAAATGTGTCAGGCTCAGAAAGTCTGCTAGAAAATAGAGTGCAAACATATTTCATTTAGAAGGATAGACTTTATTTAAGGCCTGAACATGCATGCAAAATGATAATGTGATATATTTTGTTCATCTGGTGCCATTTCACTAACACTGGCACAGCTGATTTTCTGAACCGAGATGCAGATATTTAAACTTAATAGCTATTATGGCACATTCAATAATCTAGGATACAACTGAAATGTGTTTCAGCTGTCATTTTTTCCCCAATTTTTTAAACATTCTGCTCTTAAAATCTAACTCTTAAGAGAATTAAATCCTACAGTCATACAATTAGGAATCCTTCCTCTTTTGGTAACTGGAAAATATCACAGTGATCCTGAACATGGATTCATGAATCCATAATCTATTTGAATCAAGGGACATATAGATACACTAGCTCCATCTACTCTTATTTTAAATACCTTCCTCCTTCAAATATCTGTCTATCTAAAAACCAATATATAAAGATAAGGCTGGAAAATAGAAGCTGCTGTTATTTTAAATATCTTCTTTGTCTGTCTGTCTAAAGATAACAGTGGAAAATAGAAGTTGCTGTTCTTTTCTACTAAAATCAGTTATTCCTAAAGAATGCCATAAGATGCTGCAATTTACTCCCAGGCAAATCACATGGTTATGACACTTCTCATTACTATATGTAAGTACCAGATTTATTTCCTCTGTCTCTAAGATACACAAGCTGCTTGAATTTAACAAAACTCTACTTGCCTACTCCTCTAGTGCTTTGATTTTCAACTAATATTACACTTGAGAAAAGTTAAAAATACGCTAGTTTCTGAACTAAGCTATTAGATGTAAGGAAAGAATTGGCTATATATAGTGGCATGCAAGAACACCACACTGGATACCTGAGCCTCTGACCAGAAGAACATTTTTCAGTTACCATGGTAGGGATAACCGCATAAAAGTTCTAAGTATCTAGATCATAACAGTATGTACACATATTAATGGAGGACAAATTTATACATTTATTTATTTTAGAATCTAATGAAAGCTGTTCCCTTCTAGAGGACCCTTGGGGATTGATTGAGTGCCACCTGGAACCAGATTTATTTGGTAATTATCTATTAGGATGTTTTGTTTACTGCAGTTTATTTGATCTTGATACTGCAGTGATTTTCTTTTATTTTGTTCTAAGCCATCATTAGTTGATTACAGTTCAGCAGCATACAGATCAATCAATCAATCAAAGCCTAGTCATGAAGGCTATATAGAAACTCCAGATTCAGAAGCATCAGAATGCTGAGCCACATACACTTTTGGTTTGACATTGCAGGATGTTCCACAACCATAGTGTGCTACTGCAGATTAGTTGATTGCTTGTCACTATGCCTGATTTTCTGTCACAACATATGTCTGTCAATCTGGAGAGTGTATTCACATGAAATGCAGGCATGTACTTTCAATACTTTGCCAGATTGGACAATTTATTGCCAGATAGGTCAATTACATTCTTAATCTCATTGAGATTAAAACACAGAACTGTAATAGCATTCAAGATGTACTTTTTAAAAAGTACAGTATTTTAACATTTTAAAAACTTCTAATGAAGTTTTTTTTAGCAAAAGCATTACATGCATCAGAGATGCCCCAAACATTATAAAATTCCAAGTAGCATTTTCAAATAGAAATCAATACAATATCCACACACAGGTAATAACTGATTGATTTTTAAATACAGGACTGTTGACTGATGAGATATATACATTTAGAGCAAAAAAACATGCTTATATCACCCGCACATCAGTTTCACATTAATCTGTGCAATGAAATGTTTTATATGTTGCATTTTATAATCTGTGACATAATCGTTGTACATATTAATTCCCAGGATTCTATTTAATGCAGTTTATAAAACTTACATTTGGCATCAGAAATACTATGATAAGGAGACCACACAAGCATCCCTCCATTGTCTTTATCTGTGTATTTTGTAGCTCCTGGAAGATAAGTTAATTATGTTCAGTACTTCAAAGAACGCCTAATTCAGATAATAAAAATATTAAAAAATATTTAGTCAAAGGATAACCCATAATCTGCTCATCAATGTTTTATTGGTAATAGACACAATTGTCCTGTACTTTACATCTTGTAAGTAATGAAACAGAGAAACAATGGAAAACTTGTTCAAGTAGCATAGCATAGGCTGGAATTCATCCCAATTTCTGTTTAAGGCCCAATGAGAGAGAGAGAGAAACATTGTGAGAACTTTGCTTTCAAAGGTAACCAACCTTGTTATAACTAAAATAATTTCATGTGCTGAGAATCCAGAATAATACATTTAGTTCTCTTCTTTTTCTTTCTTTCTTTCTTTCTTTCTTTCTTTCTTTCTTTCTTTCTTTCTTTCTTTCTTTCT